ACAGTGGATTTGTCTCTGTTTTGATTACTCTGCATGGAAGATAACTGTGCTTGATTGCAATATAACGGTCCGGTCTGATTCTGAATTGGCCAAACAACTCCACCCCTTTACTCAGATGCTCCCCTTACTTTTCAAACATACCGGAAGGCTTCCAACAAATGCTGCCAATCTTGTGGTGGGAATAGATAGACCTAAACTGGTGCATCAAAACAACATATGATCACACTCGGCCCTGACATCAATCTTTCTCACGCAGTCACATGCACAGTTTGGGCTTGGCAGCTGCAGGTGTATCACTCCTACTTTTCTCACCGAAGAAGCACATCGCATTGTCGTGATGTTGTATGAATTACACCAGAAGCTCTAAGATGACGCATGAGAGTAGATATATGAGTTATTGTCTCAGTTGTTTCTCTCATTCCATATATAAGATATTTATTATAAACTTTACATATATATCTTATACAATAAAGAAGAAGACAACTCTCGATTCCTCAATACACGTCATTTTATGACGTCACTAGATGGGCAACTCCAGCGCGCGCCAGCTGTCTCTTTCGGCGAAAACGATGCATTTCATTAGCTATATCTCGTTGAGTTGGGCTTTTTTGTTTACAAAATACATTAAAGGCCCATATGCCCAGATTAGTTTACACTGGGTTTTATTAGGTTAGAGGCGGATCCTTTGCTCTCGTGTCTCCTTCGATTCCGAGCCGTCGACGTTTCGCCTACCGAGTTGCGCGGAGAAATCAAACGCATCTACCATCTTTTAATCTCCCATTAATCGCTCACCCACGATGTAGATTGAATGCGAGAGGCATGGCTAATATTAGAGTTTTCTTCTCTGATCTGAAGCGGGGCCATTGTTCTGCCGTCGTCGAGGCTAAACTCCTCCGCTTCTGGGAGGCTAGAAGTTTCAGGCGTGGTGGTGAATTAGCGTGTCTCGATATGCTAATGATTGATGTGAATGTAAGATTTCTATTACTATATGTAGATGAACTTTGTATCTGAATCTTTGATTTAAAAAAAAACAAAGTAGTTGATCAATTTTGTATCTGTATATTTGGTCTTAGTTGTATGAATCTCCATCTTTGTTTAAAAAAAAACATGGAAACCGATCCATTTATTACTGTATGTTGATTCTTAGAAGTGTGAATCGGATATTTAATAAGATTGTTGTTTGTTTCATATTCCGGTGTAAGAACTTCTGTTGTCGATTTCTAAATTCTCGATTGTGTATGTATCTGAGCCTTAATAAGATTGTTGTTTGGTTACATATTCCAGCCTAAGAACTTATGTTTCTTGATTTTTAAATTCTCGATTGTGATATATAATTAAAATAATGTATGTTGATCCTTAGATGTATGACCGATTTTGATATGTTCTTAAAAAACTGTGTATTGATCCTTAGATGTATGAATCTGAGTCTTATATTTGCATTGTTTTTATTTTATTTTATATGCCGGTCAACACCGACGAACACCCATTGTTGTCTCATTGATCTCGGCTTTAGTCCTCTCAGATATTTAATCAACTTTCCTGAAGCTTCAGAGAGACCTCAAAACCGACAGCCATGGCGAGCATCAGAGGATTATGATGGAGTCAATCGTACGTTTCCTTAGATGTTTTTTTCTTTCATCCATTTGTTATTATGCCTACTTCCTCTGTATACTTTGACTGGATATCAATTTGTTTTCCGGTGGTTTCGCTGCAGATTCATCACTTGAGAGTGGAAGACACCCTGAGAACTACTTGAAGTATTCAGATGAAGATATTGATAGGATCTTTCTAGATTTTTTCAATCGATATACCACCAGCACACTAAGGAGACGAAGAAAGAAGATTCCAAAAGGGAAAGGTTCACTTTCTCTACTTTGTTTTTTCTGTTTTAATTCTCAGCCACATTAGGATATAAAATATAATAGAGCCATTCCTTGAATTTTAATTTTTCGGCTAAATTCCTTGAATTTTTATTCACGGGTTGGTGGTTTATGCACCGTTCCTAACCTCCGTGATGGAATAATATCCAAGTTAGTTTTATGGTCTTAAACAAAATATTATATGGGACATATTAATAAAATTTGTTAAGATCAAAGAAGTAATAATATAGTGGTTTAGTTAGAAGAACCCGTTATCTTAATTAAAATCGAATTGTGCACGGTTAAAACATCGAGTTATTATGGTTATGAGTAAACGAACTTTATAACTAGTTCTTAAACAATTTATATTTTCCCGAACACTTTAAATAATTATAGAACCAGAGAAATTAAACATATTATATTTGGTTATGGTATAGTATGAAAAACATTAACGGATAACTGAACATTTCATATATGGTAATGGTTTACCACTCAGTACAAAACCGGTTATATTCCAATAATGGAGATGGTAGATAGTTTTAGGAAGTTTGTGGACGGAAGATTTTAGAATGATTTATTCACAATTATAATAATATTGTGAGAGCGAATGTCAAGAAAATAGGGAACATGTAGGTAACCTAGGATCATTAAATGAAGTGATTCTATGAAGATATGCATGTACATTAGTGTGCATGTATCAACAGTTCATACACAAAAATCTCTATATATAGTCTTTCATTCCACACACTTATAACCCACACAGCTTCAATTAATAACAATAAATACATCTATAATTGTGCTACGTTGAAGCATAGTAGTGATAAATAAGCTGATGGTGACATAGATAACACTAGTAATTATTGTTTTCGGAAATTCTATGTATCGATAACTTAATTAATTACGAAATATATACTATTGCATGTAGGATGCAGTATAAATGTATATATTTAACCAATTCTCGTTTTTTTAATGCGACTTTATTTTCCGCAGGATGGGTCAAATGGTACGTGTTATTAGTGGCCAATGGACAAACTCTACAGATGGGAAATGGCGATTTCACGCAGACCCATCCAATCAATCTCACTATATAATAACCAAGAGGAACAAGATAATACCAGTTTTAATGTCTCTAGTAAGGGAAGAACTCGGGATCTGAGAGCAGACACCTATGTTTTTTTTTCCTATCATCTACCACCTAATTTGCTGCTACCATATGGATGTACATCTGCACCAACAAACGTACTTACCGCAGCGGACGTTGAACTACTGCTGAGTGTACAAGAGTGGACCAAAGATGTCGAATTATGTGTCACGTTTGGTGCATCGAATGTTGCTAAGTATCAATTTCTCTGCAGAGAACCCTTCAAAATATGTGAAAGAAGGTTTTTAAGCAATGGAGTAACAGAGGAAGACCACCTTGCGGCAATTATAGGTGAGTGGAGTTAATGTAACAAAAAGATTTTTTTTTAAAAACATATATAATTTAAATTTACTTTTTGTTATTTTGCGAGAGAGGAGTGAAACGCATGAATGTTTTAGATCATACGTATGATTAGCGAACCCTTTACTGTATAAAATTTGGTGCAATGCCTTACATCCTGTGATTAAATTCCTAACACCAGATCTTATAAATTGCAGTTCGAGCAACCCTCCTTCTCTTTGGGTCTGACTCAGGATAAAGACGCTCCACTTCCTTGTGAAGACGATCAGATGGGAGAGAATGAAACTTAACTTTCACTGGAGAAGCATCATGTATACTGTCTCTGACATGAGCAGCGGGGGACTCATAAGCAAGATCAAGTTTTTACGTGACATTTGAAACCTTTACCTACATTATGTATATATGTCATGGTTATATTTGCAGTAACCAATAAAATAACAACTACTCTATACTTACGGGACCAGATTGACGGGATGGTGAAGTCGCTTGGTTGTTGCCTTCAAGAAGAGGTGAACTTGGACGAAACGTAGTTTTATCATGACGGGAGAGTGTGTCCATTCCCTGTAAATAATGGAACTTGGATTTTAGAATCTCACCATAATAAGGAAGACAAGAGATAGAGGAAGTGACATATTTTGTGATGATTATATTTGGCATACATATTAGATAATAACTACTCTATACTTACGGGACCAGAGTGACGGAATCCTAAAGTGACTACACTGTTGCCTTGAAGAAGAGGTGATCCTGGAGGAAGAGTAGATTTATCATGAATGGAGAGTGCGTCCTTTCCCTTTCAAATAAAGAAACATAGAATTTAGAATAACCATAATAAGAAAGCCAAGAGATAAAGGAAGTCATATATTTTTACTAAGCTGTAAGGATTGTAAGATTATTTAATTATTCCCCAGATTGTAATATTAGTAACTAGATATATACTAAGGTGCAACGTTAAATTATGCAATCCATACTTTAATATCTTGACGTATTAGGGAAGAGTTTGCTTCTTGAGAAAGAGCGCCCGAGACCTGAAATAGCATGCATGATCCATAAATAACCGGTTACAAATGCTTGTTTGATATATAACCGGTTAAAATATGTGATAGTGGATTAGATTCCTAATGTTAAAAATATTTAGACGATTCTTACTGGGACTTGGTTAGGAGATCAGGGAGTAGTTGAGTAATGGCTGATATTTTGCAAGACATCTTAGATTGACTTTTCATTCGAATCCTGACCTCGCCCATAGGTTGTTTGGAAGAACTTGGCTTGGAGACATTGACAGTAGAGGGACAGATATGGTGACCCTCTGAAGCTACATGAGCAGTACCCACCTCACCTGGCTTGGAGAAATCTACAGTAGAGGGACTGATATGTTGACCCTCTGAAGCTACATGACCAGTATCCAGCTCACCTCGTCTCGTTGATTGTTTGGAAAAAATTAGCTTCGAGACATTGCCAGTAGATAGGCTGATATGGTGACCCTGTGAAGCTACATCAGCATTACCCCCGACAAGGGATCGAAAAATTTCAGATTTCATTTCATGTATCATTCCTGACACAGTGGATAGAACGTCATCTTTTACTGGAGAGACGACGATGCTAACTCTTTCATTGAGGCAAGACCAGCAGAGACATTACCATCAATCCGTTTTAGCTACGGTTTAAGAAGTGCATTCACAACTGAGGCAATTTTGTCTTCATCGGACACTACTCTCTGTCTCTTTCTCTCGGGTTTGCTTCGTCTTACCACCAACTTTCAAGTCTTCCCGCATCTTCTCAACATCTGATTTAGTAGCTCCACCTTTGAACATATCCTTCGCAAACACAAACTTTTGAAAAATACCTCATCTGTCCAAACCAAAACGGATTCATTGACTGGGCGTTGAGGATCTTGGGGGATAATACTCATTACAACAACCTACATAAAAAAATGAAATTTCATTTCAGATGATATTTACATGTATAAACAAAATTAATATAAGAGATCGTTCTTTTTTTGTGTACTAAAATATCAACAATGTTTCACTGCAGTAAATGAGCTTACCTCAGATTTTCTATCTAGTTCTCATGTGTGGTCAGGATTTAATGTCTTCTTCCTGGCCTTGCTAACATGGTGCTCTGTTTCATCATCTTCACTTCCCGATTCAGAAGAAGAACACACATCTTGAATCACTTCTGTCAAATCAGGTACAGCTTCTAGAATTACAAGATGGAGAGCTAGAGCAAAACCTTTTAGAGCAAAGGTATTTTGAGATAAGGATATCTCATCCCTCTTTTTGATACTAGTCATCAGTATATCAAATGCAAGATGGCCCCATGGAAAAGACAAAAACTCGTCAATGTCTCCAAGTAGCTCAGCATGCTCCTTCATCATTTTCATCTTTAGATTTGTTGAGAGCAACACAGATGAAATGATAGTAAAGAAAAGCCAATTTCATCCGGATATCTGGATCTGTAACGGTTTTCTTCTGAAGCATCTTCACCGCTCTAGATACTCGCATCTCTTCCATACTCCCAATGAGCTCCGGCCAATAAAGTTTCTTGTTTATGGTCTTCTTCTTCAACTTCAGTTTTTTTGGGAGTTCACCACAAGGAAGACCAGTGACGATGGCGAACTCACGCAATGAAAATCTAATCGGATTTCCGGCGAACCGAAACCAAGCTTCATGTTTTTTTTCAACCTTTAGCTGTCGCGATAATAGATATCTAGCAAATCTACCAGAGAACGCATGCTTATGAGGTATGATGACCTCTCAGGTACCGGATCTCATCTTCGTTAAGAGCATTAAGGATGTTGTTGATTGCTCGGGAAGACTGGTAAGCCAGAACTCTAACCCGACGGGTTCCTCTCCCTCAGCGAACATCATCTGGGGTAACTCGACTTCGGCTTCATCTACTATGTCATCTGGAAAATCGACTATTCTTGAAGCAACCATTACGGATTGGGTAGAAGAGATTTTGAAGAAACTACTAAGAATTGAGATTTGTTTTTGAAAAGAATTGATATGTTGGAACCTAAAATTATAGCACACCTCTTTGGGTTTTTGCATTAAAGAGAAAGAGATAGTCAAAAATCCATATTCTTTGCATTATTAGTACTTTCACTTTGTGCAACCGATGGTTTCTCCAATTACATCTGCGTGTAACAGGTCCCTATCATTAACTTTTCTTATGGCAATAGAGACAATTTGGGTGTTACTGTAAAATCTACAGTCCCATACCCACTTACTTATAAAGTCGGATATCGTGGATATCTAATATAAATTCCCTAGATTAAATAGAGTGAACAAAAAAAAAAGAATAGATTAAATACTGGTCACCTTTAATGAGTTAGTTTTAAGGTGGACCAAAAGCCAAATGACATGTTCGCTTTACACTTTCAAGTTTCAACACCTCCCATCACATGTTCTCCTGGCTCCTGTGTCTCCTTGTAATATTTTTTTACAAAAATAATATCCAATAATTCAGTTTAGTGATACCATCTCTCAACTGTCTCGTGTCGTGACCCCATAATATATAGCAGATTGGCCGGCAGATCTAGCGGATGTGTCAACCAACTTGTTCAATAAATTAAACTACCATTTCTTCATCTGCCTCACACACTTTCTTTACCATAACAACTTGAAACTTAAAAAACAGATAGTACTACAGAAACTACATTAATTCCAGTTTTTACAGTTTTATAAGATCTATTACATGGCGGGCTTAAAGGAAGTGAGATTCATCGATTTCAGCCACGGCTGCTCCCATACAATGGTCTCGTACCACCATCCACCGTCAGAAGAAGCCGGTAATTAGTCCCTGCCACTACTTGAGACTCGCCACTAACAACCGTCACGAACTTGAGTCCTGACTTGCTCTGTTTGTTGTACTCGGAGACGGCGAATACACCAATCTCTACGACGAGAGGGTCTGTAACATCGCTGATGGGACTCCAACCGCCTACACGTGCCACAGCAATCACATAGAGAGGGAGGACGAGAGAGAGAAGAAGGAGAAATGCTTTATTATTCATTTCTGCTGTGTTTGTTTTTGCTCCAGTTTGTCATGGCAAGAGGTTTTTAGGGTCCTTTATAGTAGATGCTTGCCACGTGATGAGGCATGACCTGACGAAGACTCATAAGCATTATGGTTTTTATTATCCAATCAACTTTATCAGCATATTAACCATTTATCAACTTTTATCAACTTTTATTTGTATTTCTTTCCGTGATTTATGAATGCGATGCAAAAGAAAAAAAAAACATTTACTAAGAGCATCTCCAAAAATAAATTCCATTTTGAAGTTTCTCACACTCTATATTTGAAGTTTCAAAGTGTTATTCTCCATAAAAAAAACTTCAAAACTAACTTCAAAACTTTTTATATTTTATATTATGATCCTTATATTTGTCACAATTAATGAAAATTCATAAAATTTTTATAAATAACTAACACATATATAAAAATATTACAACAATATTATTAATAAAAGTTTACATTAAAATATAAAACTAGAAATAGAATACATGACTAAACATTAAATTACAAGCAAAAGATCACACTATTCCATAAAATTATTTCCGTAATGCTTTCATATGTGATCAACTAGTACGTACATTTCAAAATAAGAAATGACTCTCTTTATTTTAAATTTGTAGATTACGAGCTAAATTTTTTTGAAAACAGATATCATGATTGAATTACGTATAAACATAAAGCAAAAAAGTTAGCTTTAGAAGAAGTAAAAGAGGAAAATAAATTATTACTAAAAAACTTAGCTTCTATCGGTGATATTAATACTCGTGAGTACATTCGTTCTGATCAAGAAAAAAATCATACGAAAAAGACGTCAAGAACAACAAGAACAATCATCTGCGATTACATAAAAAAAAACTTGTTTGGACTTTGAAGATTTTGGAGCTTCCGGAGCAAATTTACCAGATTATTAGTGTTATTGTAATATTTAATTTTCTATAATAATTATGTCTTCATCTACCTTTTTAAAAAATATTTTTAATTAAGTTTGTTTTGTAATATTCTTGTTTTCTAATTCTACTTTTAATTTTATGTGTAAAGCTTAATTTATAGAAATAAATTTGAAGATTTGTGAGATTTTTTTATAGATTATAATGATAAATAAGAAATTAAGAATCATAAATAAGATATGTAAAAATATAAGGATCAAATTGCAAATAAAAAGATGATACTTCAAATTTTATTTTGAAGTTTCTTGTTGGAGAGCAAAAAACTCTATATTTGAAATTATAGAGTCTTTTGGAGATGCTCTAAATGATAATGCTTTAGACTCAATGCTCTCATATAAATATTTTGGGAGAGAATTTGCAGTTAGAATATATAAAAAGTGAAAAAACTAATTATATATAATTAAATTTTTTATTTAATAATATAAAATATTTTATAGTAAAAAAGAAATTTATATTTTTAAAATTAAAAAGCAGGGAAATATTTCACCTTTTAAAAAGAACAATAGTTCAAATTTAAAATATAATATAATTTATATAATAACACAATTCATTCATTATTTTTAATAATAAACATAAAATCATCTAAATTTAGAAAATAATAATAAATTATATATCATATATTAATTTATGATAATTTTTATATGAATCATTTACCACTCTACCAATAAATAAATAATGATAATTTATATATAAATTATATAATTTGTTTATTTTGTAATATTAAAAATTATGTTATATCCAAATATAATTTAATATTTTAACATAAATGTTACATTTTTGTAAATAATAATATTTCACATATAAAATATAGTATAATTTAGAAATTGAAAAAAATATTTGCAATAACAAATAGATTATTATATATATATATATATATATATATATTATTTTAAAATAAATATATTATATATTATTTTTTATGATAATTTTAAAATTGTATATTGTTACTGCTCTACCAATCACTTTATTAAAATCTTTAATGAAAGAATAAAGTTTCTGCAGCATACTGCTTCTACAATATACTGATAATGCTTTATCATCTGCTGCACCAATCGAGGTTTTAGAAGACAACGACAATTACTTTCTAAACTTTCTATACAACTACAATATTGTAATAATAAATGATATTTAAGGAACAACAGCGACGAACACCCATTGTTGTTGTCGGTGTAAGAACTTCTGTTGTTTGGTTACATATTCCAGCCGACGAACACCCATTGTTCGAGGTTTTAGAAGACAACGGCAATTACTTTCTAAACTTTCTATACAACTACAATATGGTAATAATAAATGATCCTTAGATGTATGAATCTGAGTCTTATATTTGCATTGTTTTTTTATTTTATATTCCGGTCAACACCGACGAACACCCATTGTTGTCTCATTGATCTCGGCTTTAGTCCTCTCAGATATTTAATCAACTTTCCTGAAGCTTCAAAGAGACCTCAAAACCGACAGCCATGGCGAGCATCAGAGGATTATGATGGAGTCAATCGTACGTTTCCTTAGATGTTTTTTTCTTTCATCCATTTGTCATTATGCCTACTTCCTCTGTATTCTTTGACTGGATATCGATTTGTTTTCCAGTGGTTTCGCTGCAGATTCATCACTTGAGAGTGGAAGACACCCTGAGAACTACTTGAAGTATTCAGATGAAGATATTGATAGGATCGTTCTAGATTTTTTCAATCGATATACCACCAACACACTAAGGAGACGAAGAAAGAAGATTCCAAAAGGGAAAGGTTCACTTTCTCTACTTTGTTTTTCTGTTTTAATTCTCAGCCACATTAGGATATAAAATATAATAGAGCCATTCCTTGAATTTTAATTTTTCGGCTAAATTCCTTGAATTTTTATTCACGGGGTGGTGGTTTATGCACCGTTCCTAACCTCCGTGATGGAATAATATCCAAGTTATATGTTTGTGTGTTGTTGTTTTGTGCCATATGAATACTCTTTTCTTTGTAATAAAAGTTCTCTAACCATTTTGATCGACATATGTGGTTGTTTGTGTACTTTTGCTATAGCCAATGATACTAAATATGGACGAGGGCCTTTGTTTACAAAATGTTAGCCAGCGTATAGTTAGCTGAGTAGCAAGAAATTTGTAAGTTTAGGAAGAAAAGCAAGTGTTTGATGAGTTCGGTGCAATGAATCTAGCGAATTCCAATTGGTACCATGGATAGAATTATCTTATACCATAACACTAAGTGTTAACTTATAATTAGTATTCCAAACACAAACTAAACATTATGTCACATAATATAATTTATCTATTTTTACAATAAGCAACAATTATTATTTTATTTTTCACCAAGAATAAACATTATAGGATGCTAGAGAAGAAAAAATATTCAACATAAGATGAGTTTTAAACAAATCAGTGTACAATAAAATAATCTCATCAAACAAGAAATGCCAAATAAACATCCAGAGGTATCATCAATGGTTTCCTGTGTCAAATATCTTACTATTATTTGTCAAGATTTTTTCTTATAAAATTAATCTTAGAAGATTTGAAAAATCTGGTATGACTATAAATAGAACGTGATATTTTTGTAGGGTGATATTTTTGTTGTAAGGTGATTGGCGCAGCGTACGAATGGGTGGACGGTCGATCTAAGAATTTAGGGTTCTAGAGACCTGTTCTTGGATCGATCAAGAGTTACTTGCGTTAGCTTCTTGAGACCAACTTCTTATTTGGATGAATTGAATCGAATCGAAATAAGGTATAAAGCAAAAGCTCTTATTAAATATAATCAAACGTCCTCTATAAAAGAGATATAACTCTCTTTATATAGCTATTCGAAAACCACAAACTGGTTTAGAATAGGAAAACAGAAAACCTAAATGAAAGAGGAATAGATAAATCAAAAGAAATCCAACAATAAAGAAAAGGAATCTAATGGTAACATGATGATTTGAATAATTAGGTTGGTGCTTGAATCACGGTTGCTGCTGCATCAGGTCCCCCCTGGTGAGAAAGATTCGACCCCGAATCTGCAATGACGTTGTCGGCAACAAAACGAGAAAGATATTTCACGTTAAAGACATCCGAAGTGTTGATACCAGCCGGTAAACGAAGACGATAGACATTGTCATTAATGCGCTCTAATATCTCGAGAGGACCAATCTTCTTTGCCTTAAGCTTGTTATACGCATGGGAAGGCATGCGGTCGCGAGTCAAATATGCCCAAACAAAGTCGCCGACTTCAAAGACCAAATGCCGGCGGTGTGTATCCGCAGCTTGTTTATACTTAGAAGATGAAGTCTCGAGATTGGAGATAGCCTTTGTATGTATATCAGTAATAGCGTCCACAAAGGTAGTTGCATCACCGTGTAGTCTTGTACGATCTGGAAGAGTAGAAAGGTCTAATGGTCCTCGAGGAATGGTGCCATAGACGACTTGAAACGGGCAAAAACCCAGGCTGCGGTTTAAGGCATGATTATGCGCGAATTCAGCCTGTGGTAACTTCGAATCCCAAGTCCCAAGTGCATCTCCAACCAAACAACGTAGTAAGTTTCCTAATGATCGATTAGTGACCTCCGTTTGACCATCAGTTTGAGGATGATAAGCCGAACTCATATCAAGAGACGTACCTAACTGCTTCCACAAAGATCGCCAAAAATGGCCAAGAAACCTTGAATCACGGTCCGAAACAATTGAGATTGGTAAGCCATGAAGACGATCTATCTCCCGGAAAAACAGAGTAGCCACTTGCAACGCATCTGTTGTTTTCTTGCAGGGCACAAAATGAGCCATTTTCGAGAATCTATCGACAACGACGAAAATAGAATCGAAACCACGCTGAGTACGTGGAAGTCCTAGTACAAAATCCATGCTGATATCTGTCCATGGTTGAGTTGGAATAGGCAATGGCATGTATAGGCCAGCGTTACTAGCTTGTCCTTTAGATGTTTGACAAACTGTGCAACGCTCAACATAACGTTCCACGTCACGTCTCAAGTTCGGCCAGAAATAGGAGGTTGACACCAAGTGCAGTGTTCGATCACGCCCAATGTGGCCCTCCTGATGAAGCTCAGTGATGATTTGAAGCCGCAAACTTGACTCAGGAATACACAAACGAGTTCC